GGGCGAGGGTTTCAGCGGTGAGATTTGACATCGGGCTGATATCAGTCGGCGCTTTTTGTCCGTGGCCGGGCAGAGAAGTGAGTGTCGCGCACCAGCTGCGCCTCGCACGAGGAGTGCGTAAATGCCGGAGCGCCTCGCAAGGCTTCCCGTCTATCGCTGCCTCGCCGTGACTCGCATGACGGCCCGCCGGCTGCCTGGCGCTCCAGCTGCGTCCCCCGGTTGTTAGTCAGCGGTCAAGTTCCAGCCGCTCAGCTGTCACCCACCCTGGCAGTTGCGACTGAAGGGCTGGCAAATGTGTAGCTCAGGTCCAGTGGGGGTGGGAAAGCGGGTAGCGATGTTAGTGAAGTGCCCCCAAAATACCGATCGATATACACCATGGCCAGTTGAGGGGGGTGTGATTGTCATTATTGGGACAAATGTTTGTCGTGTATAATAAAGCCGCATTTGCTGCCCCCACCACAAGGATGCTCTTTTGCCTTGTAAAATCCTCACAGTAACAGCTGAATCTTACCCGACCTCAACACCGCAGTCATGTGACTTGCTTGATCCCCCTCCCTTCGCTTTCGGAATTGATTGAAAGCGTTGAGATGTGAGGCTCAGCTTTATGTTTCTCATGGAACGACGTTAAGCAAACGAAAACGTGACCAGTCAAGCGGTTGTAGACAAGCTTTGGGTAAGTCCTGTTTATTAGGCCCCCATGGTCCAGCATAGGACAGGAGGTAAGGGAAATGGATGGATGTACTGTGTGATATTTGTTTAGGATTTTTCTAATGTTACTGCTGGAAAACCTTTCACTGAAAGTGCTTGTTTCTCACTGAAACTGTCTTTGCATTACAAATAGTCCATAGAGGAAATATTTTTTGCTGCCAAATTGTCATTCATCTCAGGAAACTAGCAAGCAGTAAGTAATCTGTGACAGTCTGTGAGGAATAAAGACGTTCATCAGTAGTCCACTTTTGCAGAAAACTGACACAAAAAGGCCTGTTAGTCGATTTTCAGAGTAGATTTCTTTTTCAGGACAGCTAGTACTTGTATACGCGGCTGATTTAATCAGTTTTAGTGTGCAATATGTCACTGAATAAAATGAACCACATTGAGGTCTCATCTGATTATTCCCTATTATTGGATCGTGTCCGCAAAAAAAAAAAAAAGTTAGAAGAGCCAGAGAAAGTACTGACCTCTGGTTTAAAACGGAAGGATCTTCTCCACACCTTGAGTCTCCATCAGGCAGATGCGGTTGCCCTGGAGACAGGCCCACACTAATGGGTACTCAGCAGTGGAGGGGGGGGGGCGCCTAAGCGAATGGCCCCCAGTGTCAGGCAGTGGTGCCAGAGACCAAGTTTTATTAGTCTTTCCATGCAATTTGACCTTGTTCATTTTGGACTCATTTATTGGACTTTTACTGCACCACACTGTAATGTTTGAATGCTATTTTTAGAAGTAGATGAATTCTAAAAATGATTAGATTTCCCCCAGAGGGAAATTCTTAAATTCTTTGTTAATGCTCTGCATGACATATTGACAGCCTCAAGATGGTACTTCTGAGAGAGAATCAAAGTTGGGTCGTTAGAGACATGGATATTCAGCATTCTGCTCAGGCGGACACATCAGTTACATCAATGAAACATTCCTGGGAGGAATGAAGCTGGAATCAAGGGTCACCTGTAATGACCAGGCTCCTGGCAGATATATTACTCCGGTATGTAACGGACCCGCAAGTATCCTTAGACTGGTGTTTGTCCATGCGGCCCTCGGGGCCACCCCAGACAATCCACGTTTTTGCTCCCTCCCAAAGAGTCCTGGAAGGGAAGAAAACCGTGGACCTGGGGGGCCCCCAGGAGTGGGATTAGAAATGCCGCCCTACACCAGGGCTCTGCAACTTTATTTACTGTCAAAGCAACGTTTGCAAAGAAAATAATCTTGGGGGGGGTGAAATCATGGGTGATTTGTCTGTTTATCTCAACATTCTCATTATCTTAAGTATGGTTACAGTTGTAGCTGCTGAGATGGGCGGTTTTTGCAGATGGCCAAAATTATTCCTTATATAGATTGAAAGGATACGTGAGAAATTGTTAAAAATCTTCGAGGTGTGAAATTGAGCACGGTGGGTTTTTTTTTTTCCTTCGCTCATTTCCGCACGAGGGAGGCTCAGAATGTCTTTGTGAACTTGATGTTTCCAGTGGAGATGGAGTCAGGAGGCATTTGAGGACACAGCAGAGCTGTCAAACTCCAGTGCCGGGTCTGACTGCTTCACATTTGCTTTTGTGGCTTTTTTTTGTTAGGGCTGCCCAGGCCTTGCCACCTTTTGAACAGAACTGCATGACACAGGGATTTCTGGGCAGAACTGAGGCTTATTACTGAATTTTTTTTTTTTTTTTTTCTTCCCCCCTTTCCTGAGTAGCGAGCAGGACAAAATGCACAGGCGTAATTGCTGTACAGGTGGAATAAAATATCATGAACCATGTCAGGCTGTGCAGATCAGATGTGAAGGGCGTTTTGTTCTGGGGGTGCTGATGGAACAAAAGCAGAACTAGCCAATATATACAAAGGAATGGAATGAGGTACAGGTGGGTGTAGATATATTCCAGCTAATGGTCAGGGGACTCTCCCTCTCAGACATCTGTGTCACGAAGTTGAAATTTAACATATGGAAAACACACACAAATGTAATAGCACCACATCTTTAGTGTTACTTTAATCTTGCTGAGTCTCCTGTGTGTTTGAAATGCTTAATTCCTTAGTTATCAAATAACCACTTAATTATAACGCATTACGTGCTAATAACCCCTTGCTGTTATTCAATGATATCCAGAGAACTTCCTCATGATGTCGTACCCATTATATGGAGACTATACAGACCCTTCCCTGATTACGATGGTCCGTGTTACGATATTTCCACCTTACGATGGGTAAATGTTTTGGACGTTCAGTAGATTGTTTAATAAGTCAATGAGATATTCAACACTTTCTTATAAAATAGGCCTTGTGTTAATGATTTTGCCCAACTATAGGTCCGCTTTCTGGCGAAGCTGATGCCGGTGTGCTTTTGTGTTCCTTCGGAGCCGCTGTCACGAGCGCGTGAGATGGACAAAGTCCACATAACAAGGAAGTAGCTGTGCGCTCTGGCCAGCAGTGAGCTGCAGGTGTACAGACCAAAATAGCAATAGTTCCTGGCTGGTGATACTCCCCCGCCGCCCCCACCCCCGCCCCAACCCCCACCACTAACATGTCCAGATACCAGTTTGTTTGCATTTAAGCCTTTAAAGGTCAGAACAGTCATTACACAAGAGCCTCGCTTGTCGTCTCAGATTTTCCTTTCCACAGTGAGTGCAGTGTTCAGCTAGCTCTATCTACGCCATCGTCATCAACAAAGCGCTTGTTTTACCGGGATACCATGTTTTATGGCGGTAAAGGCTTGGGGGCGGGGTTTAGCGTGAAGCTAACCCCTCCTTGCTGCATTTCATTTGCCAGCAGCAAATGTGTTCTAGATCTCCTAGAAAACAGAAGCTCAGTGCCTTGGTAGTGCACCTTTTTAACTTCCCTTTTTAACAGGCTGCAGATGGTGAGGTCACTTTGACTAGGTGAAAATTATCTGTGGTATTGGACTCTTCTCGTTTTGGCTTTTGAGATGATTTCCATTACATGGGTCGTTGCATATCGAAAGTAAATTATCCCAAATATTTCCATTATATAGCAAAACCAAAGCTTTAAGATGGAAATGAAGACCAGTGAACCGTAACGCTTTATTCCCATTTTATGGCATAAAGACCATTTGAACCGCTTCTTTCAGCAGTGATATTACCCCTTAGCTTAATTGTTTTGACATTTTTCAGTCTTCAAACATTTGACACTCTCTCTTCTGTGCTTTGATACTCACTGTTCCGTAAAATAAAATCCTTTCAAAACATTTAATCTAGTTTTGAGCGGCGCGCGCTTGTTAACAGATTTATCTTGCCCTTTATGGATGTGAACCTGTGTTTATTTTTATGATAGGTCAAGGAATGGACATTCTAGGAATGTCTGGCAGTTATGACACTGATCACCTTTTTGCTTGTGGGAACGTTTCGCCTTTTGTACAGATTCAAATTCCTTCTGCGTGTACAAACTTGAAGCTCCCTGCTTATAAGCTTCATTCCCCTGACAGGAAAATTTTGCAGACTGCACCACTTTTGCCTTCCTGCCGTTAAATGTGCAGACATAAATTAGAAGGGCACTCCTTTTCAACTCCAACATTTTTTTTTTTTTAAGACGGATTATTTATTCATTAATTTTGTTAATGGAATCACTTTGTTTTGAACGTATCTTGCTGACATCCGGTTTCACTACGCTGGCACTGATGAATCTATTTTGACGTCTGATGTTTCACAGCCTGAAGCCAAAGTGTTGTTAGCTGGGGCTAATTGGGACATTTAGGATGTGCATCTCGAACTGTCGTAGCTACATGTTGTGTCTGAAGTGCATTAACTGCCGTGTCAAGAAACCATGAGTTTGTTCGTTTTCACCTGATGGAATTAATATAGTGCAGTAGAGGATCTTGGGTGACAAACCAGTTTCGTTCTTTAGGGATTTAATGAAAATGGCTCCTCTGGAACAGGAATTGAATTTGACATCAGGTCTTCCTTTCCTGTGGCCTACTCATCTTGTGGATCTGTGGGGTTTTTTTTTGGTACGGCTTTCGTTTAAAGCCCTTGCAGCTTTCCTCTTTCTCTGCTCTGGTGGCTGTGTTGTATCAATGTCAGTCACGTTGTGAGGAAGGGAAAGGGAAGGGAAATGTGAAATAATGCAGCCCGAGCCGTATAGCAGAAATTTGCCTGCCGGTATCTCAGTCTTAGGCGGTCGCACCGCCGTTGGGTGTGGAAGGGTGCTGAGGTGCTGTTCGGCTATCCCCGTGTTTCTTCAGAAGAGTTACGCTAATTATGTAAGTGAAATATGAAATGTGGGTGGAGCTAAACTCTCTCAGATTTTATCTTAATTCTGTTTTTTTTTTTCTCTCTCCACAGTTTCTCCTGGAAAAAATGATCTTTTTGTGGGACTATTGAGATTTCAAGAGCAATAGCACTGTGGAATATCTGAGCCCTTGTTGACTGGTACTGTCACGCTGTTTTACTAGACAGATTTGCTCCTGATATCCTGGTCGCTCCTGGTTTCTGTCTCCCGAATCACACTTCGGGAAGTCGATGGAGCAGAGAGATCTCTGTATCCCGTCCCGACCGAAGGGGGGTGACGTTGAATTCTACCCCAGTGGAGGCTCAGCCAGCCAGGGTGACCTCCCAGAGGGCACCGGTGGTCTGCTCTCCACGCCCGGGAAGGGACTCCCTGCCACAGGGGAGCGACTCGATACCGAGGAGGACGATGACTTGGGCCTGGGCAGGGACGTGGACGTCAACTCAAATCCAGACAGCGAGAAGTGGGTGCCCGGCGATGGGCTGGAGGAGCAGGAATTCTCCATCAAGGAGGCCAGCTTCTCCGAAGGCAGCCTGAAGCTGAAGATACAGACCACGAAGCGAGCCAAGAAGCCCCCCAAGAGCCTGGAGAATTACATCTGCCCTCCTGAGATCCGCATCACTATCAAGCAGCCTGGGGAGCAGAAAATGGCCAAGCAGATGAAGAACGGCAAGAGTGGCAAGGATGAGGACAAAGGATTTTCCAAGAAGAAGGTGAGCTTTCCTTTAAGGAACCCACAGCGACCTAAAGCCTGACTAACCTTATTTACAGGTGGAAGTAAAAAGCTGCAGTACAACTTAATTATCAGTGAGGACTGGACACATTGTCCTTTGTGTCAATTGCTGTATTTTTTAATGCATTTTAAAGTAATTCTGTGCTCTTTAGCCTGAAATGCTTTTATCCAGGCTTTGAGTCATACCTGTGTATCCACGTCACTCATCATCCTCCAGTTTTTGCCCAAGCTTTCTAAAGATCGTATCATTTAATAATAGCCACTCTTCCACCCACGCCTCGTGATGTCACAGGACTACCTAGCAGCCTGTTTTGCCACGCTGCGTTCCGTCGGAAGATGTTATCTCTCGTGGCCGGTAAACCCAGCGAATGCGAATGCTGAAGGCTGCGTCGTGGCTTATTTTGCCAGAGGTAAATTAGGTAGGCTTTTCACTTCTGAAGGGGGAAAGGTGGAGGTGAGATGGTAATTACACTGATAATCATGGGGTGCAGAGTTCATACTGATTTGTCTGGATGAGTCGCATGAGTAGTTGTGAAATACATAAGTAGGTAGACAAAATAGTATTGATTTCAACAGTGGATGACTTGTCAACAATGTTTTTAAGTGGCAAGGCTATTTTTGTTCCGGAAATGGTTTCATTTTATGATGAAAATAATACTTGGCTGAAATCGGTTTGCGTGGTGGTGGTGAAGCTCTGCACAATACGTCAAAAATATGATCTGAGTGTTCCAAATAATAGAATATTAAAATCTCAAGAGATTATTGTTTTCCAATTGCCTATAGTTTTTTTAACCCTAAAGGGCAAATTAGAGGACACACTTAACATTTTGAATCAGCTGTTACCCACAATCCAAATAGATTATCATGCACTGCATTTAGTATAGTTCATGTCAGAATACTTGGCTATTCAAATAGTACCTAATACTGTTCTGCAAATAGTATTTTGCTGATGGAGATGCAACTGGTCACTAATGCAATGGTGATAGACAGAAGTGGTTAAGCAGAGTAAATTCTGCAAGTACTACATACATCTCCAAAATTCATTACAAAACCATTTAAAGTGCCATCCATCCAACTTCTAACCGTTTATTTTGGGCAGGGATGTGGGATGAATTTGGATGTTCTCTCAGCAGTATAGGGCGCAAGACTGGAGTACATCCTGAACAGGATACCAGTCCATCACAGAGTACACTCTCACACTGGGGGCAATTTAGAGATGCTGGTTAACCTGCCTGCATGTCACTGGACTGCAAAAGGAAATGAAAGAAACCCAGGGCATACCCATGTGACAGACACCCAGAGCATATACATGTGGTAGAGCGAGAGCATGCAAACACAGACACCCACATTCGAGCCCCAGAGGCTGTGCCCCTCCCCCCCTTTGAAAATTTGAAATCCCTGTATTATTGTAAGTTGGGGAAAAAGCTGACGCACATCAAACACTTACTTGCCTGTCCAATCCATACATCTTCCATGACTGCTTATCAAGTGATGAGCTTGGAGCCCGTGGCAGCACAGAACATAACATGGAGCATGCAGTGTCACAGGCATCATGCTGGGGATGGGAGTCGGAGCTGTCAGGCCTCAGTTCTAGCCACTGCTCCACCTCCATTTGGCAAAGAGTAAATGTTTTCTTCTGGGTTATAAAACAATAGATCACATATTCTCTACAAACTGCACTTTGTGCAGTTCTGTTGATGATTTGTCACAAACAAATTGCATCCTAACCAAATGTTTTAGTGACTTTTCAAGAATTATCCCCAGCATCTTAAGAAATTCAGGTGAATTTTTAGATAATTTTCAATGAATAAATTTTCACAGCTTTAGCCAGCGTTACCGTATGATGTAATCACCGTCTTAGAATGCAAGATTGGAATTAGACACTGAATATTTTTCAAATTCGTGTGCAACATCATTTAAAGCAGAATATTAAATAATGCTAAGTAGCGATGGTCCATTCTTACAGTTCGTGTTTCTTCTGCTCGTTTTCTATCTTTGTTTTTCATTTTTTTTTTGTGAGAAATGGAGGCAGGAATGGGGAGAGTTGAGGCTTCGGAGACAGAATGAAAGAAAGGGATTTTAATGTTGCGGACCTGCCCTGTAATTTAATATAATTAGGGAGAAAATGCTTGCTTGCAGAGTAGCAAAGTGGAACTGCCAGCATCAGCAGCTTTCAGCAAGAGCACCGAAGCTCAAATTGATCTTTTTTTTTTTTTCCTGAGGAATATAGTTGTTAACCTTTCCAGCATAAAAATCCCATCTGCCTCGACCGTCTCATTTGAGTGGGAGACCCAGTTCTTATTTTCGCTGTGAGTATTTATTATGAGGTCCTGGAGGGAAACGGGCAAGTTTGACTAATTAAAAAATAAAATCCACAGTCTGCACAAGACTGTACTGTGTTCCAAACACTTTGATCGGAGATCAAAAATGACAATACTTATGCTTTGTCGTATTTAGGTGTAATGTGTCTCTGTAATTGCTTGAGCACAAAAGTAAACATTTTAATGTCTCTTCCGGTGCCTCTGAAAGCCATCTAGCCGGCTTGACACATCATAACAGGGGAAAAATATGCGTCCAGCCAGGCCTGTGCTTGTTGTTGATGTTCTGTGTAGTTGCAGTGTAGTTCCAGTGATTATTTATGCACGATAAATCACTGTTGTGACTGGTATTCGCCCTTATTAAATGCGACATCCACAGACAATTTTTGCTTAATGAAATGGTTTTTAATATAAAGGAAAATGTGCTAAACATTTCTGTCACTGCTGATTGATGCTCAAGGACATAGCTGCTCAATATCTTCTCAGTGTTTTGCAAAAAAACAGTCAAACTTTGTGCGATCGTTGGCTTGCTCTCTGCTCCTGGTAAAACACTAGCAATTTCCAGTGGCTGTGGATAATTGCATTTTTGTCTCCTTTTAGCAATAATCAATCAGTAGTCTTGCAAATTATGAAGTATGTGGTGATAATTGCTTATCTCACTGCCATCTCAGCATCTGTTTGCATTAGCTGGCAATAAGTGTAAATCAGAGCCAGTACCTCATTATGATCCTGTTCCCATAACCTTACGGCTCTGATGAGCTGTGGGTGACAGTGACAGGCATGACATTTGAAATCTGTGTGTTGATCGCTGTCACTCCTTTGGCCCACATTCCCTACGGGAGCGCAGACTGTCGCTAGAAGCCTGTTTCCTGATGTGTGATGGGCTGGTTAAAACTTCTTGGAAGAAAAGAGAAACTCCGCTGTGTCTGACACGCAGTTTATCTACCGATCTTTGAGTTACCTGACAGTTCATGGTTGTCTACAATCTGAAATGAGACCACTTGTCTTGTTGTAAGGGTGTCCATCTTTTTTAATTGCTTCAAAGACACAATGCCAAGTAGTTCACCTAAGAAGGCCGTCTCTGTCCTGCATAGATGTTTTGTGGCCTCTTGATGGTCAGTTTACCTACTGATGGCTGCTGTCCGAAATGGCCAGGTGCGAATTAATGACCGCGTGTATTTGTGTTTACTGGGGACAGCTGTTTTTTTGTTCTGTTTGGGCCCAATGAGAGTATCCGTCTTGTTTTTCCTGAGTGAACCCATACGTGTACTTCCAGGGGTCAGCTCTTTATGCAAGATATGCAAGAATTAACCCCTCCCCCAGCAAATCACCCCCAGCTTACAGAGTACCAGCAGACGCCCCTTAAAGACCCACCGCACAGACCTCCTCCCAGCAGCTGCTAGTCACTGCCCACCCCCCTGTGCGACTCACAGCCAGTGTTGAGAAAAAGGTTTCCGTGCCTCCAGCTGGGATCTGGGGAGTAAAGAGGCTTCCTGCCAGCCTGGAGCTGAAACGGGCAGCTTCAGTTAACGTCGAGAGAGAGATTTAATGTAAAGATAAATGCGACCCCCATAAACCTCAAAGGCGTCCGTTTCACCAGTAACCTGAAGACCATTCTGTGGTGAAGGATTATTGCCTGGAACGTTGGATGTTCTTGTTGAAGGTCTTTAGTCAAAGTGACATGGAACAAATCTTAGTCACTTAATCAAGGTCTGTACACCGTGTAACAGTAAACAGGGCTTTCCGTAAATGATAAACCCAAAAAAAAATAAATAAAAAGCTTCCGTTCCTTCAAATTGAATATCTCTACTGAGACCTAAATAGAGAGCAACTAGGAGACCACATCATTAAGTTTATATAGAGACTGTAACTGCCTTGTTACTGTCTGGGGCTTTCTTAAGCAGGTACATGTATTTAATCTGAATGAATCCCCAGTGCCGTTGTTGTGACTGAAGGTAACCTGCAGGGCTTTTAGCAAAAGGCCACGAAGGAAACGCTGAGCAGATGAAAATGAATTCTTACTGGTGGATTTCACATCCAGGCAGTTTCTGCTCCGGCACAATAGCATGTCCAGGCTCAAGACCATAAATGGAAATGGACCCAAACAGGGCAAAAAAAAAAAAGAACTCCATGACAACAGCCTAGCCATAAAAATAGTCCGCCAAAGCTCAAAACAGGATAGGGCATGTCCAGCTGTTTGCCAAATACTGCCTTCTAGGGCACCAGGCCTCCTGAAATCTTTCAGTAAGGTCACTGGTTTTCTCACCTGCATGACCATGGGAAAGTTCTGCTCCTCTTGGGAGCAGGAAGCGGAGGTGGGAAAGTTGGCACCAAGCTACTGGACTGTCTGTCCAACCTGAGAGAATATCGTCTAGACCTCTGGGAAGCTACTGATGGGAAAGGAGTTGGAAAACTTTCATATATGCGTATTTGGTTGTTGTATTTCTTTATATTTTTTTTATTTGCGTGTGTGTGAGACACGTATGAAATTTTATTGGCAGGACTGTTGAAATGCCTGACAAATAAATGAGAGGGATGGGGAGCGTAGGGTAGAGGAGGGAGCCACGCAAAGAGGTGGTCCGAACCCCATCTGTCTCTTTTCAGGAGCCTCAACATCGACAGGCAGAAGGTCAAAGGGACGTCAGGAAGAACAAAGGAGGTT